AGTTTTATTTTTTCATCCTTCTAATATTCTAAACTATCTGGTGATCTTTTGTGATTTTTGTGAACATTTTGAGGTGACTGATGAGTAATGGCTTGATGTGAAAACTTCTTTGTGAAAAACTGAATTTTTTTTCCAGTATTAGCAATCATATCTATATTTTCTTTGGACATTGAAAGAATATATGTTTGCTAGAAGTCTCTAACAGCAGTTTTGTCAAGCATTGTTCCCTATTTTTTTTTTCATAGTTTCTTAGAACACTGCCAGTTATGTGAGCTAGTGTTGTTATATCATTCCAGACCTAGTAAATACTGATTGACAGTGTCTCAAGTTTTCCACCTTAATTTTCATTGCTTTCTCTTGTTTTTGTGGTAATGAAAAATTTAATGTTTGCTCTTATATATGCTTATGCTATGGTGCCTCTTAGGATATTTTTGCTGAAAATGGAAGATGCAAGTGTCTTTTGTCTCACATACTGTTACACATGGTGTTTCTTCTCTTTATGATCCTATAAATATGGTATGGAGTTCAATTTTAATTTATGAAAGTAATGGCAGCTTATTTTTGTTCACTGATCTTGTTGAATGATAGGGACTCATTTTACATACATTTCCCACTTGACAATGGCGTTTCTAGAATTCCTTTCATTCTAAAATTTCTGCTCGATCGAATTTGCATGAAAATCTTGAAAATAGTTTATTCTGCCCCCACCCAACTTCTCGGATTTGATATGAAGTTTTGACATTTTTTATTTTTTTTGGGATTTAGGAAGTTAACCTGTATACTTTCTTATCCCTGTTGCTAACTGAGTAGTGCAATCTGATTGAATAATTTTGATGAACACTTGCCCTTTTCATGCATAGATCATTTGGAAACTGGCAAGAATGGATTTTTGGAGATGGGATATTTGATCTTTAGTTGGTAGAGACTTTTTAGGTAACCAGTACATTTTCAATGGTGGTGTGAAATATAGATTTAAATCTCCAAAGTGGTCAAAAATGTCTCCAATGGGGAGATACAAAGGACATGCAAATTGCATTTTCTGACAGAAAATGTAACAAGAGGCAAATGTGGATTTAAATCTTTTTGTGAGGTGGATCAATTTAATCCATTCTGCACGAGTATTTGTCGTGAGCACTTTGAAAGGATTGTGTTAGTTGATTTGTATTATGAACGATAGATTAAATCCAATAGTTGGATTTCCATTGGATTTAATCTTGTGGTCAATTAGACATTCTAGTCAAATATCTTTCATTATGCAATATTTGAATTTGAATTCAAATAGATATTTGGCTCTATTTACAAGACTTCTTCATCTTTTCATTTTGGACTTGGCATAACAAAAGAGAGAAAGCATAGAAAGTTAATAAAGTGGGAGAAGTTCACATCTCCGACGAAATTTTTGGTGGCTTCCGACGGATTTATTTCTTGGTATATCCATTGTTATTACCATGGACGATGGTGCATGATTCGATGTGGCAAAAATTTGAGCTCAACGTCATATGACACTCCATTAGTAGCGTTGAAGAAGTTTTGAGTCTTTTTTGTTCGATTTTACACTTTGAGAGTTTATATTTCCGCATTGTATTTGTAATAATCATTTTTTCACTGCATTTTAAAATCTACAAATGGTATCAGAGCTTAGGCTAGTGGTATAAAGTGTTAAAAAAACCTAAAAATCGGATTGGAAGTCGAAGGGGTTCGGGTTTGGTTGAAAACTAATAAACCTGAATCTTTAAATCCATTTTTCGACAAAACCACGCACCTGGTAGACGAACAACGACCACCACCAGACTCTAGACGACAAGCAGAATCTACCGGTGTCGCACGTGAAACACGCATCGACGTTGGTGGTATTGGATTTCAGTTTGGTGCACTGTGAAAGCAGATATAGCATCGGGCAGAAAGGTGAAGTGGAGAAAGTTTTTCCATTGGTGGCTCGGTGGTATTTCCTGGGGTTGCAACAGCTATTGGATACCTTAGAGCAGTTATTGGAGGCTTAGATCGATAAAGACTTGCATCTCTCCTTAAAATACGAACCAACATATTGGTTCGCTCGGTTTTGCGCTTTCTAACACACACTTAAATTTACAATTGAGATATTGTGTTATTTGCTATCATATTGTTATTTGACTCTTGTAATATTGTCTATGTGTTACTTGTTATGATATCATCGCTTGTGTCATCTTGAAAAATAATTTATACATAAATTGGTTTGATCTTGCATTTGTGTGGGTAAATTGAGTAAGTAAAACTTTTTCGAAAAACATTATTTTTCTACCATGCCCTATCAAATTGAATTGGTACAATTCAATGGTAAGGGAGATTATTCAACTTGGAAGCAAAAAAATGAAAGATATTTTAAACCGACAAAAAGTTTCTAAAACTCTTTGACGACCCGAAAAAATATCTTGATGCATTAAAAGCTAAATCGGATGAACTTACCGTGATGAATAAAATTGCACATAGTTTGATTATATTGTATTTATCTGATGATGTGTTAAGATAAGTTGAATAACATAAGACTGTCAAAGAGTTGTGAGAAGTACTTGATAAGCTATTTTTGGAAAAATCTCTTCTAAACAAAATACATTTGCTTCAAAAACTTTTCGGTTTTAAGCTCGACCCGGGACAGGATCTTGAATCCAATTTGGGTGACTTTAACAGACTCGTCAAGTGTTTGGCCAACAATGATAAAAAATTTGATGATGGGTATCTATTGGTTATACTTTTAAATGTTACGCTCGAATCCTATAGAGATGTTAGGAATGCTATCACATATGCTATGGATACTTTGAGCCAAGATATTGTAACTGATGTTTTAAGGGCTAGGGAGCTAGAGCTTAAGAAATAGTCGAGAGGTAGTTCGAGAGAAGAGAGTTTGTTTGTTAGAGAGATGAATAATACGAAGGAAAACTATTTTCAAAGTAAGAAGGGCAGAAGGAAATTGAATGAAATTGAATGGTAGGTCCAAGTCTGGAGATAAGAGTGGTAAGAAATGCTTTTATTGTGGTAAGTTAGGGCATTTCAAGAGAGATTATAATGATCTTAAGAAGAAACGGAGATA